GGCGGTCTACACGTTGGACTACTTCACTCCCTATCACTAGTTCAGGTGCCGATGCAACCCAATCTTGAAGCAACATTTTGCATTTCGAGGGGGAAACCGCATCCCGAACATGCTTGCATTGTTTCTTAGGGTAGTCAGAAGACTCTGCATTTTGTCAACGTCTACACCGAATAGGACTATGTCATCGGCATATTCTAAGTCAACCAGTGAATCTCCTGGCAGAAAGTTCACTCCTGAAAAGTCAGACGAGGATAATGTTTTGGGGCACAGTTTTGGAGGTTTGTGTTATTACACATTTGAAATCATCAATCGATCATGGTTAGACCAGCACAATTACAAACCTGGAAGCATTGGACGGCCGTTTCGTCCTTGTGTGGGACTCATCAGCAGTGGACAATGTTAACTCTAAATGTATGTCTGCAACAAAGTTAAACAAGAATGGAGAAAGTGGACAGCCTTGACGGACACCACTTGAAGTAAAGAGTTCCGATGACAGTTCGCCGTAAGCTGTAACTCGACCTGTAGTGTTCGAGCAGAGTGCTTGTATAAGGTTAATGCACTTCTCTGGTACACCTTTTAATGATAGACACTGGAAATTAATCAGAGAAGTTTAACTTCAGGGATTTTCATCATATCATCATGTGACAGAGAAAAGAATCAAAAGATAACAATTAAAAAGTGAATAATTAGATAACAAAGATATTTTATTGATATTTAGGATATGGTTTTCTTGCTTTCTCTATCACAACCAGCGTGTATATTGATTGATTTACTGATTAGTAAATACAAAAACTGTGTTTATCTTCTACTTGCTGAATGATATTTTCTTAAAAAAATAATAATTTATGATGATTGCTTTCATCACCTCGACGAACTGAAAATTCGATCTCTCTGTGCTAATGTGGCATGGCAAGTTGAACTGATGTATGTACGTACGTACGTACGAAGTTCTATGTTGTAGTTGACTGGCTAGACGAAGACTAAATCAACAATCTAGTAGTGTAGTGAAGGAGAACACAGGTGAGGGCAAACGAATTGTATTTAGCAAAAATTACAGAGTTACTCAGTAGTAAAATAGTAAAACCATATCGTAAACGGTTAATTTGCAGATCTTCAATCCATTGTCTGACATTTATTTCACTTATTCATGCGTTTCATACAAATTCCATTGTGTTCTAACTCTTCCTTTCTTGATCTTCCCTCATCTTTTGCTGCCAGACATTACGTTAACACTCGCGTCATATACTACTTATAAGTAGCGCGCACCACAGTAGTACTCGAGAATTGTCTCATATTAGTTTGCAGAATTTTTAAATGATCCACTTATTATGAATTTCTTTTTCAGTCAAATGTTTCCACCAACAAAATTTCTGTATGACACTTAAAACTCGATATTACTCATACCATCTTTTCTTGCAACTCCGCCAGTAGAACCTTAGGGGCTACTGCCGGTCCCAAACCCTGATAAAGGAGGAGGGTTGGACATGGGGTTGGCGACCCCATTCCGTCAAAAACTAACTTGCCAAAAAAACGCTAACCAGAAAAACTAATTCAAACCATTTTAACTCTGCCCTGGGAGTTGGAAGAAGAATTATGACGTCTCGTGATAAAAGCCGAGTTCCCTTGGAAGTCACGGGGCCGATGCCTCTTCTGACAACCAGAGCAACCATTCTTTTAGGTACATGGAACGTTCGTACATTGTGGGAGACTGGAAGACTATTTCAAGTTGCGGCAGAAATGAAAAGATACAACCTCGAGGTGCTCGGGATCAGTGAAACACATTGGACACAGGTAGGACAACTGAGACTTGCTTCAGGGGAACTGCTGTTATACTCTGGTCATGAAGAGGAAAACGCTTCACATACACAAGGAGTTGCACTGATGCTGTCCAAACATGCACAAAAGGCACTGATAGGATGGGAATCTCATGGACCGAGGATCATTAAAGCATCCTTCAAAACAAAGAAACAGGACATTACAATGAACGTCATCCAATGTTATGCACCTACAAATGACTACAATGACGACGTTAAAGATCAATTCTACGAAAGGCTGCAGTCAATCGTCGAGAAATGTTCACCAAAGGATTTGACGATTCTTATGGGAGACCTAAATGCCAAGGTTGGCATGGACAACACTGGATATGAAGACATCATGGGACGACATGGACTGGGAGAAAGGAACGAAAACGGTGAGAGATTTGCAAACCTATGTGCCTTCAACAAACTGGTCATTGGTGGCACAATATTCCCGCACAAACGCATTCACAAAGCTACTTGGATTTCACCGGATCACACTACTCAAAACCAAATTGACCATATCTGTATCAACAAAACGTTCAGAAGGACCATGGAGGATGTGAGAACCAAGAGAGGAGCTGATATAGCTTCAGATCACCATTTGCTGGTCGCCAAAATGAAACTGAAATTAAAGAAGCACTGGACAACGGGGCAGACAACATCACACAAGTTTAATACGGCCTTTCTTCGGGATACCGTAAAACTCAGTGAATTCAAGATAGCCCTCACCAATAGGTTCCAGGCCTTTCAGGATCTACTCAATGGAGAGGAAGCAACATTGGAGAACAATTGGAAAGGGATTAAGGAGGCAATCACTTCAACATGTCAGGAGGTCCTTGATCGCAAGAAGCAGCATCACAAGGAATGGATCTCTGTTGGTACTCTTGAAAAAATTGAAGCAAGGAGGAACAAGAAGGCAGCAGTGAATGTCAGCCGAACAAGAGCAGAGAAAGTTAAGGCGCAAGCCGAGTATACAGAAGCAAACAGGGAAGTGAAGAAGAGCATCAGAGCTGACAAGCGAAAATATGTGGAAGATTTAGCAATGATGGCGGAAAAGGCTCCAAGAGAAGGAAACTTGAGACAATTGTACGAAACAACAAAAAAGCTCGCCGGGAACTATCGTAAACCAGAACGACCAGTGAAAAGCAAGGAAGGGAAAATAACCAGCAACACTGAACAACAGCGAAATAGGTGGGTAGAGCACTTTCAGGAACTCCTGAATCGACCAGCTCCACTGAACCCACCCAACATCGAAGCAGCATCCAAAGACCTCCCAATTAATATTGGCGCACCTACGATTGAGGAGATCAGTATGGCCATCAGACAAATCAAGAGCGGCAAAGCAGCAGGACCAGACAACATTCCAGCAGAGGCAATGAAAGCAGATGTAGAAGCAACTGGGAAAATATTTCACATCCTCTTCAAGAAGATTTGGGATGAGGAACAAGTACCATCAGATTGGAAAGAAGGATACCTCATCAAAATACCAAAGAAAGGCGATCTCAGCAAGTGTGAGAACTACAGAGGCATCACTCTTCTTTCAATACCAGGCAAAGTCTTCAACAGAGTATTGATAAACAGAATGTAGGACTTCGTAGACGCCCAACTTCGAGATCAACAGGCCGGATTTCGTAACGATCGATCGTGTACTGACCAAATTGCTACATTACGGATCATTGTGGAACAATCAATAGAATGGAACTCACCACTCTACATTAACTTCATCGACTACGAGAAAGCATTTGATAGCGTGGATAGGAAAACACTATGGAGGCTTCTTCGACATTACGGTGTGCCTGAGAAAATAGTCAACATCATACGGAATTCTTATGATGGATTCAACTGTGAAATCGTGCACGAAGGTCAGCTAACAGACTCTTTTGAGGTAAAGACCGGTGTAAGGCAAGGTTGCTTACTCTCACCCTTTCTCTTTCTCCTTTAAATCGACTGGATTATGAAGACGTCAACATCTGGAAGGAAGCACGGTATCAACTGGACAGTTAGGACGCAGCTGGACGATCTGGACTTCGCAGATGACCTGGGGCTTCTATCGCACACGCAACAACAAATGCAAGAGAAGACGACCAGTGTAGCAACAGCCTCTGCAGCAGTAGGTCTCAACATACATAAGAGGAAAAAGCAAAATTCTCTGATGCAACACAACATGCACCAACCAAATCACTCTTGATGGAGATGCTTTCGAGGACGTTAACAACTTTACATATCTTGGCAGCATCATCGACGAGAAAGGTGGATCGGATGCAGATGTGAGGGAGCGGATTGGCAAAGCGAGGGCTACATTTCTACAGTTGAAAAATATCTGGAACTCCAAACAACTTTCAAACAAAACCAAAATTAGGATTTTCAATACAAATGTGAAGACAGTTCTACTGTATGGAGCGGAAACTTGGAGAACTACCAAAGCCATCATTCAGAAGATACAAGTGTTGATTAACAGTTGTCTACGCAAAATACTTCGGGTTCGTTGGCCAGACACCATCAGCAACAACTTACTGTGGGAGAGAACAAACCACATTCCAGTGGAGGAGGAAATCAGGAAGAAGCGGTGGAAGTGGATAGGACACACATTGCGGAAAGCACCTAACTGCGTCACAAGACAAGCCCTCACATGGAACCCTCAAGGCAAAAGGAAAAGAGGAAGGCCAATGAACACATTACGCCGAGAAATAGAGAAAGATATGAGAAGAATGAACAAAAATTGGACAGAATTGGAAAGGGAAGCACAGGACAGAGTTGGTTGGAGAAAACTGGTGGGCGGCCTATGCTCCATTGGGGGTAACAGGCGTAAGTAAGTAAGTAAATCTTTTCTTGCCTTGTCCTCCAAATTACCAATCAGGATACCAGAAAGATTTTGCACTACTTACTATGCAGACCTAACAATTCAAGTGTTTATATTGTAAATAAACAATGAGGGATTTATTTTATTGAGATTAATGAATAGAAAATACTAAGGGGTAACAACTAATTGGGTGAAATGAAAACTATGGGAATTAGGCAAATATCAGAATACCATAATAATTTAATTGTTTAATAACATTTTACAATCAATTATTAGTCTTTAATTAAGAGGTAACACAAACTAGTTATTTGCAATTCATTATGCAACATCGATAACCGAAAACAAAAGAATACAAACATTTACAAATAATTTAACAAAGAAAAGAAGGGAGAAATGCTTACTCCATCATTGCTGCATCTAATTGATATAGAACACCTTTTAAAGTATCTCTATGTGTAGTTAAAGGAGGCCAATGACGATAAGCTGTGAATATAGCAACAGTTGCATCCATTTCATCATCAGGAAGAGTAGGCTGAAAAAATTAATAATAATAATAATCTTTGCTTTACCATTGTATTGTTAGGATATTCATCAAATTATTTTTTAAGTCTAATTCTATTGGTCAATATTTAAGGTCGTCCGAAACTATCAAAAGTTCACATACTTTTAAATGTTGTTTCTTATTGGTTAGTATTCACAGTCGAGCTAACTGTATAAATATGTATTGTCTGTAAAGTTTTATGCTCCTCTTCTTACTCTGTACAAAACCTTGTATTTTCTGGGTGCTTGTAGAATACACTTTCTACGCCATATCAAGACTTTTTGATACCGTTAGTCGGGGCTTGGGACACTCGGATTAGAGTAACCTATCGTGTCACTGAATCACTTGTCTTCGCTTTACGTTTACCGACTAAGGTGAACTCGTAATATTATTCAAGCATATCAATCGACGAGCATAACACATACAATGTAGTTGAAATGAGAAATTACATTTACTTAAAAAAGTTCTAGTATTATTCACTTTCAGTCAGTCAGTCAGATGCAACGTAGAACTTCGTACGTAAGTACATCAGTTCATGTCGCCATACCACATCAGCACAAATTCGAGCATATTGGTCTCTCGTGCTGTTACGGGTATGAGGGCGGTTGTCACTTCCCGGCTGCCCACACCGCGGAAGGTTGTTTCTTGAGGGACCTGAAAAGGAAGGTAGATTAGTGTTGGTCTTGGAGACCTCGGAGCGTGACCGCAGAGTCCAAGGGACAACTGCTTGAGGCCGGTCACGCACGGCCCTTTTATGAAAGGTATTTTAGGCCCTTAGTGGGCACCCTTACCCAAGGAGACGGAAATCTGTGAGGTAGGGTGTGACATTTTTAGGGTCGACCTTTTCTAACCTTTCCTTCCTTGTGAGAAGGCAGCATCTCTGCAGATGCTGGTTGTTCGAGGGAAACACCTTACTGCTGTCACATCCCTCCACAGTCAGTTAGCAGTACGACTTCGCCCTCAGACCTTGAGTAGCTGCTTTTAGTCTCATCGTTCTCCAATCGACCAGCCTGGCATGGTAGGACCTGCAGGAACATATGTTCCAACCAATATAGCTCGGTTGAGTCATCACGATAGGCAAGCCCGACAACCACGTCAAGGTAGCAGCTACGGTCGGGATTATTCACTTTAGAGAGAGAACATGAGTAAATCAGATTTGAAACTAAAAATTTAAATTAATTTAGAAGCATTTGATGCAGAATAAATTTATTTTTTTTAAAAAAACAAACAGTTAAACGTTCCATGAATGAAGTACTATTAAAAAAGTAGTATCAATAAAAAGATTTTTAAACGATTAATGAAGATCCATTGAATTTTTTCAAAGACACGAACACGCACACACACACGCATGTACACATAGTAAAATTAGGAAGTTTGTTTTATTTCTGAATTGATAAATGAAAACAGACAAATGATGAATGTATATCATAACAGACAAGAAAAAAAGATAAAAGCTGAAGCATCATTCATAGTGTTTTATGACGACTATGAGAATCAATGGTAGTGTTGTTTGATTTAAGGCAGGGCAATAAAAAATTCAAATGAAGGGAAAAGTGTAAATGTTGCTAAACAACATGAAAACTGCACATCAAAAAAAAATATACAGAAGAATTTCACTCGTTAATAATCTAACAAATCTGGGGGCTTTACTATCATTATCTAGTACACGTTAATTGAATAGTAAGCATGAATAATCGATTTATTATTATTTATTATATACAAATATGCAAAGATTC